TGTGGGCCGTGACCCCTTTGGGGGGTTGAACGACCTTTCACAAGGGTTGCCCGATTCATAACAGTAGCAAAATGACAATTATGAAATAGCAACGAAAATAATTTTATGGCTGGGGGGTTAGCACAACATAAGGGTTGCGACATGAGAAAAGTTGAGAACCACCACTTTAGTACTTTGTTGGTTCCCTTTATGGCAATCATTTTGCATTCAGGGTCTTTAGAAGGTGTTCTATCTTTGCTTGCCACCTCTGTATGCAACTCTCAGGCCTTTTATGGCTTATCATAGTGCCTCACTTACAGTGGTTACTTCATAAATGTGTTGAAGGAAATAAAAAGAAACATTCTTTTCAGAATGCTTGAATTTTGTTGAAATGGTATCAAATAGTAGTTTACCAAATGAGATCCTGGTGAGAACTACAAGTTACAGGGTTTTAAAAAGTTTAAAGTTGAGAGAGTTGACGGACAATCCAGTGTAGAACTAAATCACCCAGTGAGTGGGGTGGGAGACTGTTTAATAAGGTTTCCCAGACGCTCCTCTTTGTGGAGCAGACAGCCGGTCCTTTTCTCCCGGGGAGTGACTGGGCGGGCTTCCGGGCCCACCTTTGCTTAGCAGCCGATCTTGTAATCATTGAGCCACCAGCGCTAGAACTCTGAACAGGGGACCAGCTCTTGGAGAAGGCCCTCCCTGTCCATTTGGGGATTCGATAAAGTGTAGCTAGGGTAATAATGATGGTGGTGAACTAAGCAATGGTATTTCTCAATGATGAGATGGTAGGATGACAATGTGGTATCTAAACAGGAGGATACAAACTAGATTGAATTGGGTTAAAGAGCGAAGCCTTTTTCAAAACTTTCTTCAAAGGTAAGAAGAGGATTTAGAGGCATTCTGGTTAATAAACAGCCTTCAAAGTTAAAGAGGAGTATGAGCAGTGAAACAGCAGAAGCTGAATGTAATGAGCTAAGTGTGAGTAGGATATGAAGATGGTACTGTGAATGTAGATTTTAGAATATTTTGAAAGTAAAAAGGAAGACATGCCACATGCATTGTCTTTATTAGTTTGATTTCTAAAGGACTCATGTAAATTCAACAGTATAGACTTGAAGAAAATAGAAATGCCCCTGAAGATAAATAAATCCCTAGACTGCTCCAAACACCAACTCATAACCCCACTTAGAAAGAACCCCAATTAAAGAGTCTCTACATCTGCATATGTGAACTATTTGTAGGCTTGAAGATTTTTTTCCCCCTCTCCTTTCTAAAATCCTAGTTTTTAAACTTTTTTTCATATGATGTTTGGAATTGGACGTAGTAGTTCAGAAAGCCTGTCACCATTGTTAGGGAAAATATGAATATTTTCTTTGTAGTTCTGCCAACACTCTCATGTTACAGATATTTGAAACCCAGTTGTGAGTGACTTGCTTTCGTGAGGTGGCGTCAAGTAGGATGAAACTCCAGGCCTCATACTGTTGCATGCTGGTCCTTCTAGCACATTCAGCATAACATTGAAGGCACACCGTCTACCAGGATATAAAGCACCGGTATTTAAAAACGTAATGATTTAAGAAATGATTATTTGAGTTAAGGAAAATTTATCTCAAGAATTATTTAATAGTAAGTTAGAGCTAGAGGGTAGAGTTTTTATATGAATTATGAGTTTATACACTTAAATAAGTTCACAAATTAGGAAGACATATGAATCTAAATGGAGATGTATATTTTACTATAATGATTATTTTAGAAATTCTGAATTTTTTAGCTATGATGTATTATAATCTTGAGACTTTACAGGTGCCCTACTCTGGTGGCATAGTGGTTATTCGTTGGGCTGCTAATGGGGAAAGGTCAGCAGTTTGAAACCATCAGCCGCTCCACTGGAGAAAGACAGGGCTTTCTACTCCCTTACAGAGTTACAGTCTCGGAAACCCACAAGGCCAGTTCGACTCACTCTCAGAGTTGCCATAGGTTGGAATTGACTTGATGACAGTGAGTTTTTGCTACTAACCAAACAAACAAAGCCCCAAACGCACTCTCCTCGCAATCCTCTGGGGGAGCTAGAACGGTCTGTGCAGGTTTCTAAGACTGTAAATCTTTTTACAGGAGTAGAAAGATTGCCTCATTTTTCTCCCACAAAGTGGCTGGTGGTTTCAAACGTAACCCATTTATTCAGGCCTTTTCTTGTGCTTTGGCTAAGCTCTTTGCATTGATTATCTCATTTAACCTTCCTAACAACTATAAAAGGTAACTATTCTCATTATGAGTAAGCAGAACTGCATGTCTACTGTACAAGGGGAGCTCAAATTTAAACTTTTAAACTTTGCTCATTTCTTTTTGTCTATTGTGATATAGTAATCCTTATCTCATTTTCATTTTATTTGCATAATTTTGAATTTAAAACCATTATAGAGATATATCCTCATACTCAGTGAAAGTGATTTCCGTTGAATTGTAGATTGATCAATGATGAGGATGTTCAAATAACCTCCAGTTGAGAACTGACCCTTATAAAACCAATGCTCTTTTAAGATATTTTTTGCCATTGAGATAGAATTCTTGGTAAATCTTTCTTGGGGATGATATTTTACATTTAAAATGTAGGAAATTTGTCTGTCACCAATATGACTACTTTGTTAAACACAAAAAATGTTGTAGACTAGTTAAAAACAAAACATTTGTGAATAATGTGAAAGTAGATAATTCTTAAATATTTAAATTGAGATAAGAGAATATTTCATAGTAATTTTCCAAACCTAGACTTGGCAATTTTCTGCTGGCTATTATAAACTATTGAGGATATTGTAACCTGCTTTTTCTTTGAAAACGATTAAACTTCATCATTTTCTCTCCTTTTTGACTCTTTATGTAATGTTTTCCTTGCTGCCTACATTTAAATTTAGAATTAATAAGCCAAGTTTCTCTTATGGAATTCTAGACATGTTGTAGTTGGTTAAGTAAAGTTATCAACTGCTCTTTCAGGAGCACGGTGATAGTAGAGGAGTGATTACATTAACTTTCACGGGCACTGCCCATTCACGGCTCCCAGGAGCGGGAAGGATGCCCTGGCAATTCTTTTGAGTTGGGTTTTAAGGTGTAGTCAGAGCAAGCGGTCTCAAGTCTTTGATCAAGGACTGATAGGATAAATAGGTGTTTTTAGTAGTGTAGTGTATATTAATGTTTATCTGGAGGAAAATGTAATTTTTTGGTTATGCATTATTTGAAAATTAGTTAAACATGATATATATATTATTTGATGCCTTACTTTTTAAAAGGAAAAATTAACTTAAATGATAAAATCTTTCCATGATTTCATTGATCTCAGTATGCATTGCAGCCTTTAATGGAACCACCTATTAAGGTATTCCTTGTGAATAAAAGAAAATTGTGTGACCAGCTGTAACAGTGGGTCACATCTGATCTCCTCTGACTTCATGAGGGAGAAGGAGACTCAAACTCATAAGCATCAATTCCTATGAGGTGGAAGTCAGACATGCCCCACCTTTCAACCTTCCTTACCACTTCTTACACCAACTGTTCCTCCCACAGCACTCTGCTTCTCTGCTGGGTTCAGTGGTTTACTGCAATGCTCCACACAGAATTCACAGACCATACTTTTGTGGGCTTTCTTAGGGAAGTTATTGGTTACAATTTAGGATCGGAAATGTTCACAGGCATACCTCTCTCTGATTCGTGGCTTCTGCTCTGGTCAGACAGTATTACAGAGCTTTTAGCTCTGCTGATAAATGCCTAAAGGGCAATCTTGTGCCAGAAGTCTCAGCCTAAGGGTGCTTAGCTCCAGTTCCATGGCTCAGCAAACCTAGCTCCCTTGATTAAGTGTGTGGAGACATCCTATTCCACAAACTAACCTCTTGCCCACAAAGGCACTCAACTTTATCTGCTCCATAGGTCAAGAAGCCTACTGTTTAGTCTCGTGCTTTGGCTCTGGTTTTGTTGCCACTCCTCTGCCAATCCTCTAGTGTCACTCACAGCTTTCTGTTTCCTGGATCGGGGAGGTTAGCGTACAGAAATCTTGGAATCCAAAGGACATGCTCTACTCTTGGCTCTTCTGTCTTGGTGGTGGTGAGATCTGCTTCTGAGATGGCTCATTTTATATCCAGCAAGTTAGACTTTGATCATGGCTTCTGGTAAAACCATGCAGCAGTGGAGTACCCCATTGTAGGCAGTTTTCAGTGTTACATTTTAGATTTCTTGTTATGAGTAGTTTTTAAAAAAAATATTTTATTGGGGCTCGTACAATTCTTATCACAATCCATACATCCATCTATTGTGTCAAGCACATATGTACATTTGTTGCCCTCATCATTCTCAAAACATTTGCCTTCCACTTTAGCCCCTAATATCAGTTGCTCATTTTCCCCATCTCTCCGCCCCCCCCTCCATGAACCCTTCATAATTCATAACTTATTATAGTTTTGTCATAAGTTACACAGTCTGATGCACCCCCCCCCTCGCCCTCTTCTCTGCTGTCCCTCCCCCAGGGAGGAGGCAATACCTAGATTCTTGTAATCGGTTCCCTCTTTCTACCCCACATTCCCTTCACCCTCGAGGCATCGCCCCTCTCACCACTGGTCCTGAAGTGGTCATCTGTCCTAGATTCCCTGTGTTTCCAGTTGCTATCTGTACCAATGTACCTCCTCTGGTCTAGCCAGATTTGTAAGGTAGAATTGGGATCATGATAGTGGGGGGGAGGAAGCATTTAAGAACTAGAGGAAAGTTATATGTTTCATCGTTGCTGCCCTGCACCCTGATTGGCTCATCTCCTCCCCACAACCCTTCAGCAAGGGGGTGTCCAGTTGCCTACCGATGGGCTTTGAGTCTCCACTCTGCACTCACCCACCTTTACAATGGTATTTTTTGTTCTTGATGCTTTTTTGGCCCCACAATGCCTTCGGTGCCCCCAAAACTTTAATAAATATAAGTCACTTGTGGTATTGCCTAAGGTGCTATATTGGATGCTAAATGTAATATGTAATTATTCTTTTCAGAGATTCGTCAGCGAACTACAGCTCAAAGAAACCTTTCCCCAGCACCAGCAACTGGGAACCAGGGCCCTCCACCTATTCCAGTGTCTCCTGGATCACCAAAGGACACTTCTGCCCCTGGTGGGCCCCCAGAAAGAACTGTCACTCCAACTGTACCATCACATGTGTTATCAAGACGTCTTGGATCCCCTGCTACTTCAGTGCATGGAATGGGTAAACAGAGCACTTAATGTTATTTACAGTTTATATTGTTTTCTCTGGTTACCAATAAAACGAGCCATTTTCAGACAGTATGGAAATGGCATTTCATTTGAAAATAGCAGAGCAGTTATCTGATTAAGCAGGAGTTCCATATTCAATTAGCCATAACTCTTTACAGCTGGCACCTTGTGATACTGAAACCTATTTCTTGAGCTCATTTAACTGTTATGGCTTCTTTGTTTAAATGGCAATAAAACTTTGTAGTATTCTGTAGTCAACAGTATAGCATATCTTTTTATATTCAACTTTAGAATGGCTTCAGATTTATATAAATGAGAGGTAGAAGAATACCTTTTTAGAATATGTTAATGTTTTTTTGCTAAAACCTGAACATATATTTTTAAATATGTCAATTATTTAGCATATTTCAGGAAGGCTGTTTCTGCATGGTTGTGTATAATACTATTTTGCTAAAATATAGGTTGTTAGACTGTCCTTTTTAAAAGTCATGTAACAGTATTTTCTGATAGATACTTTAGTATAAAATTGTATATCATGTTAGCATACTATGCCTTTTACTATTATCTTAATCCTTTGGATTCTTCCCCTCCCCCAGTGTGGTAAATTACTAGGGGAAGATACTATTTTGGGGTTATCAGATTATCCTGAAATTTCCTTTTAGTGTGTGACTTGTTAACAGAAGCCTTAGTAAATGACATTATTTTATGTAGATTTCAACTGATTGAATATGACAATAAATTGTCTTATTTTAGAAAAATTTTTTAATATTACTTTAGTATTTTATGACTAATATTTATTAGCGTAATTTATCACATTAAGGGTAAGCAGTACTAAATATCAGATAATTAGGACATTTATGGAATGAAACTAACTAGCAGTTTAATCCAGTGGTTTTTCATCTGTTTTCGCACCAGCATAAGAAAATTTACACAAATTAAGAAAGTTGACTACAGATGGAATGTACACAAATATTAATACTTTTTGAAGTAGTTATTTATAAAATGTTTTTAAAATCAACATTGTGATGTCATTATAAGGCAGTCATAGATATTGAGAAATTGAGAACAGTTAAATAGATGGAAATCATTCTTCTTTCAGTATTTATCTGGTTGATTTGAACTAATCATGGTTTGTAAATTATAGTTTCCAGTTGTTTAATGAAAGAACTTTTTTGTGTGTGGATAACCTATGAATTACATGCACTTCTACATATAACTAACTAAAGAAATAAAAGCTCACCCACTGAAATATAGCAATAAAAACTGTATTATTACACATGTAGAGATAGGGTTGTATAAGGAATAATGGCCTAAATTTCTGGAATATGTAAATATACATATTTAGATAAAGTTACTACTTAGTTTCTGTTAGAAACACAGTTTAAGTTGTACATTGCTGAAAATGTAAATGTGCTAAGTAATTTCTTATAGAGAAGATTAATAATTAATTTTTCCTTATACCATATTTGGGGAAGAAAATCAGTTTAATGTGTATTACCGCAGGGCACCCATATGTTTGAAAATTAATAACCCGCAGGTACTTGATAATTTGCCAAGCTGTGTAAAAATGACCAGTATTCTTGCAATAATTGCTTCTGATGCTTGTATTAATTACTATTGTCTGTAGCTGCATGACTATCAAGATGTGTGGTTTTAAAAGTTATTAGCACACTAGGGATTTAAGATATTTTAATGAAATCTGGTGCCATATTTTATGTATCAAAGTTCTTTTACAGCCATTTTAATTTTAAATATGTACAGGTGGAATTCTTAATCAAAAGACATGTTGAGTTAGATGCTCTCAAAATCTAATTTGGCATGTCTTTTCAATTTGAAAATTTGATAATGAGGATAACACCTAATGTCTGGATTCAAATTAATTTTTTGATAACTATGATTGAATAATGTTCTTAGCACAAGCAAACCAATAACTTACCTGGAATAATCTTAATTTTTTTTTATTTGTAACACAAAAAATTTGTTCTTGAATCTAAGTTTCATTTCATAAATATAATTTTGGTATCAATTACTCTTTACTAAGTGGAAACAGCTTCTAGATTTGTGATTATGTGCAATGAAAAGCTTCTTAATTCCCTTTAAAAAATTAATACGAGACTGAGAAGGCTCAAAGTGAGCTTCCCACAAGCGTAGGCGATACACATCGTACTGCGTGCTAGTGCTAGTTAAACAAGTGATGTCAACAATCAGCTTTTTAGATAATTTAGCCTGCAGATTGTGCATCACCAGCAGTAAACCGGAAGGAGGAAGTGCTTGGTTTGGGTATTAGTCCTCATACGAGATTGAAATTTGTGAACATCATTAGAGCTGATCCAGTTGGGACAAACATAGAGCATCCCAGTTGCTGGCAGTGTTCTAAGGACCAAAGAAAATGACCAAGGCTCAGGACCAGCAGTAGACGAGTGCCTATGAGGTAGATGTTCAAGATGTTCCATGATTTGCTCTGCAGTGTTTCACAAAACTAAATAGCTATCATGTAAATAAATACCTCTTCAAGATGTGGAAGCTGGAATCACTGACATTCAATGATGTGGCTGTAAAGTTCACCTGGGAGGAATGGCAGCTCCTTAACCCTGCTCAGAAGACTGTATATCAGGATGTGATGTTGGAGAATTATTACAACCTGGTTTCCATCGAAATCCAGAAAGATGATGATCATTTGCTTGAGCACTTGCAATGTGAAAGATGCATGGATGGAACGGGAAAATGCTATAAATTTAATACATTGGAAAGTATTGTTTCTCAGCACAAAAACAATTTTCCTCCAAAGGAAACTTATGAGATGTTTGGATTACATGAAAAAATTGTAAAATCATATTTCATCATTCTGAAATTAAATCAGAACAGAAGCAACAAAACACAGAAGTCAGTTGTGTTCAAGGAAGATTAGGAAACTTTCCTCCACATTAAACAAGAGCAGTTTTGTACTGAAATGAAATTCCCTGAGTGTGAACAATCCAGGCTCATGAATTCACAATGCATTCAGCATGAGGAATCTGATGAAATTGAGAACCCACACACAGGTGATAAATGTGTGACAACCTTCATTGAGGATTCTTTGCTCTATGAGCACCAGATCATTCATATACTAGATAAGACCTATGAATGCAGTCAGTGTGGGCAAAAATTCAATAAAGTGTTCAAACTCAATGAACATAAAAATCTCATGAAGGACAAAAAGCTTTATAAATGCTTGGAATATGGCAAAACCTATCACAGTAAATCATACCTCAAGGGATATCAGGAAACTCATGTGGCAGGGATGCCCTATGTATGCAGTGAATGTGGGAAAGGCTTCACCAGGAAGAGTGATCTCACTGCTCATCAGCAAACTCATAGTGGAGAGAAACCCCATGCATGGGGTGAATGTGGAAAAGCCTTCATTGGGAAGCCTTCCCTCACTTATCGTCAGCAAAATCATACTGGAGAGAAATCCCATGTATGTGATGAATGTGGCAAAGCCTTTATCTGGAAGACTTCTCTCACTGTTCATCAGCAAACTCATACTGGAGAGAAACCCCATGTTTGTGGTGAATATGGAAAAGCCTTTATCAGGAAGTACAAGCTCACTGTTCATCAGCGAACTCATACTGGAGAGAAGCCGTATGTATGTGGTGAATGTGGAAAAGCCTTTCTCAGGAAGACTTCTCTCACTGTTCATCAGTGAACTCATACTGGAAAGAAACCCCATGTATGTGGTGATTGTGGCAAAGTTTTTATCAGGAAAACTGCTCTCACTTATCATCAGTCAATTCATACTGGAGAGAAACCTCATGTATGTGATAAATGTGGCAAAGTCTTTATCTGGAAGACTTCTCTCACTGTTCATCAGCGAACTCATACTGGAGAGAAACCCCATGTATGTGATGAATGTGGAAAAGCCTTTATCGGGAAGGATGTTCTCACTTATCATCAGCGAACTCATACTGGAGAGAAACCCCATGTATGTGATGAATGTGGAAAAACCTTTATCTGGAAGACTTCTCTCACTGTTCATCAGCGAACTCATAATGGAGAGAAACCCCATGTATGTGGTGAATGTGGAAAAGCCTTTATCTGGAAGAAGAATATCACTGATCTTTAGCAAACTCATTCTGGAGAAAAACCCCATGCATGTCATGAATGTGGCAATGTTTTTATCAGGAACACTGCTCTCACTGTTCATCAGCTAACTCATACTAGAGAGAAACCCTATGTATGTGATGTATGTGGAAAAGGTTTTACTAGGAAGAAGGACCTCATTGTTCATCAGGGAATTCATACTGGAGAGAAAACTCATGTACATAGTGGATATGGCAAAAGCTTCATTCAGAAAGGACATCTCAAAACTCATCTATGAATTCACACAGGAGAAAAACCCCATGTATGTGGTGAATATGGAAAAGCCTTTCTCAGGAATAATAAGCTTATTGTTCATCAGCGAACTCATCCTGGAGAAAGAGAAATCCCATGTATGTAGTGAATGTGGCAAAGGCTTCATTCAGAAAGGACATCTCAAAACGCATCTATGAATTCATACTGGAGAAAAGCTTTCATGTGGTGAATGTGGTAAAGCTTTCGGCTAGAAGTGATGCCTATGGCACATCAGAGATTTCACGAAGGAAAGAAGCCCTTTACATGAATTAAATGTGGCAAATCTTATATGTGGAAGTCAGGTCACGTTAAACATGAGAAAATTCTCAACAAGAAAACCTTTCATTGGAGTTAGTGTAACAAAGCTTTCAAAACAAAGGAAGAGGTGAGGTGCTAGAGTTTGGCTTGGGCCAAGCGCGGAAACAGACAATTGTGACTTACCATATGGGGACCCATGTTCTGCATTGTTGTCCCTTTACTGACATGGCCCACCCTTGTGGGGAGAGGGCCTTCCAGACGTCCACAGGGTGCATGGGTACCTCATTGCTCTTCCAGCTTTCAGTGCCTGAAAGAGAGCTGAACCTGGTGTTTCTGGATCACTGATGTACCAACTAGTAGAGTGCCCACACAGATGAAAGTTGTGCCTGCACCACTTGCATGCTCTTTGTTACCCCCCAGAGACAGCACAGGAGTACCATAAAATAAGAATAAAGAAAATAGAAGATTTATGGGAACAATTAATCCAGAGGATGGATTGACCACAGCGAACTTCAGCCTCCACAACCCTGAGACCAGAAGAACTAGATGGATCACAAAAGGGTCCTGAGTTGAGTGGGGGAAGAAAGTGGAACAAAACCCAAAATCATAAAATAGATCAGGCTTACTGGTCTGATGGAGACTTGGAATCCGCAGATTTTGGCCTTTAGCGACTCTTCACTCTTGGACCTGTACTCACTCCTCTGACTCAGCTTTCAGCCCAACAATATACTGGGTTGGAGGGGAAGAATAACATCTGAGGATAACATACACTCCCTAATACAATCAACTGTACAAAGTCAGAGAGACAGCATTTGCTTATGGATCAAAACTCCGAAAAGCAAGAAGGAACAGGAAAGAAGGATGAATAGTATAAAAACACAGGGAGGGCAGAAGTGGGAAGAAGGCTGGTATATCTTGGGGACTGCAATCAATGTATGAATTGTTGAATGGAAAACCGATTTACTCTGTTAAGTTTTAAATCATAAAAAAATTTTGAAAACGAAATAAAATTAATACAGGGTTTCAGAAAGTTCATGGAAACATCTTTTAATTCCATTTTCCCACACACTTTTTGAAATTCATATGTTTAATGTTTATTGAGATACATGGATTTTGGGGTTTATAGATTTAATCACATTTATTTTTCATAAAGACACTGCTTTAAATACTTTTCCTGTCCTTATTTTCTTTTCCTTCTGGACTACAAGTTTGCACATATGAGGGTATTTGAAGTTGTTCCACAGCTTGCTGATGATTTATCATAAAAAACTTTTTTCCTGTGTAACAGTCTATTATTCTAGCTTTAAATTCACTAATCCTTGTGGTTTTAATTTTTTGTTCTTCCTTGTCTATTCACTGTTCATCCTGCCTGGGGATTTTTCATTCAGGATATTATAATTTTAACACTAGAAGTTTAATTTATAATTTGTGTCTTTTTCAATAATTTTTATATCTATAGTTAACATATTTACCTTCTAGATTCTCAAACATATGAAGCATAGTCATAGTACATGTTTTAATGCAGGGGTCCTCAAACTGCGGCCCGCCGGGGACATTTATCTGGCCCACTGGGTATTTTTGCCCCATTTGTTTTTTTACTTCAAAATAAGATATGTGCAGTGTGCATAGGAATTTGCTCATAGTTTTTTTTAAAACTATAGTCCAGCCCTCCAACATGTCTGAGGGACAGTGAACTGGCCCCTTGTTTAAAAAGTGTGAGGACCCCTGGTTTAATGTTTATATCTACTAATTCTTTCATATATGCAATTTCTGGGTCAATTTTGACTGAGTTTTCTCTTTATCTGGATTATATTTTTCTGCTTCCATGAATGCCTTATGACTTTGAATCCAGTGCCAGATACTGTGAAATTTACCTACTGGAGGATGTATATATTTTTTTGTATTTTTGAAATATTCATAAGTTTTGATTTGAGATGCACTTAAGTTTTGGTTTTTGAGAAAATAATCTTTTCAGGGTTTCCTTTTAAACCTTTGCTGGGAGGCATGGGAGCAGTGTTTAAATTTGGACTATTAAGACAAAACTGAATGCCCAGTAATTGATACCAAAATACTCCTACAAGATAAAGAGTTTTCCTCTCTGCCTGGCAGGAGCAGGTATTATTGCAGGCCCTGTGTGAGCAATGTCTCCTTAAATCTTTTTGGATGAAAAAAAAAAATCTTTTTGGATGGTTCTTTATCTTCAGGTAGGATCCTGGGAGGTTTGTGCTGACCAGTACTCTGCTGAATTCTCTAAGGCAGCGGTTCTCAACCTGTGGGTCGCAACCCCTTTGGGGGTCGAATAACCCTTTCACAGGGGTCCCCTAAGACCATCGGAAAACATTTATTTTCGATGGTCTTAGGAACCTAGACACCCCTCTATCGTCTCCAGGTGGGTCTGCCCACATGCAGATATGCCCACATACAAGTACCTGGCATGAAGACTGTTACCCATGCCACACCATGCTTCAAGACAAAATTTCATTTATTTGTTATTAGAAATAAATATTTCACAATATATAATTACATATTGTTTTTGTGATTAATATGTTTTAATTATGTTCAATTCGTAACAATGAAAATACATCCTGCATATAAGAAATTTACATTACAATTCATAACAGTAGCAAAATGACAGTGATAAAGTAGCAACGAAAATAATGTTCTGGTTGGGGGGTCACCACGACATGAGGAACTGTCTGAAAGGGTCGCGGCCTGAGGATGCTGGCGAGCCACGGGTCTAGGGGAACCCTCTGCAGTCTTTGGTATTCGTTGTATGTGAATTTCGCCCTCACTGGTACCTTTCCTGACTTCTAGCTGCCTTGGCCTCCTCAAACGTCCCAAGTCCCAGCTCTAGCTCTTCAACTCAGCAGACCTACTGCACGGGACTCAACCTCCCTGTGCACTCCAGGCAGTGAGCAAGGCGCAGCTGTAGGGCTCATCTTACTTACATCTTGTTTCCTTCCCTGTATCGCTTGATATCTGCGTCTTTAAAACCATTGCTTCATATATTTTGCCCAGTTTTTAAGTTTATTTCAGGCATGGGTATAAATCTGGCTCTGGCTATACTCTATGACCCAAAGGGGAAACCCTTTAATTTATTAAGCTCATAAAAGCTGAGGAGTTTCTATAATTAGGTTCTATAGAATCTAACATAGTTTCATGTACTATTAGATTATGTTCTGATATTGTTGTACAGTATTTTTAATGAAAACTCAAACAATTTAGAGATCCTTATAAGATAATATTCTTGATTTATATAAATATTTGAAAAGTTATAATAAACATAGCTATTTCTTGGTAATGGATTTACATTTTACAGTTATATTTATTTATTTGGCAGGTCTTCATCCTCCAGGTCCACCTTTAGCAAGACCCATTCTCCCTCGAGATCGAGGTGCCCTGGACAGAGTTGTTGAATATTTAGTTGGTGATGGTCCACAGAACAGGTAATTTTTACTAGAATAGTAGATGAATGAGTTTGTGTGTGAGATATTCTACAATTCTGTAGCTCCTATTTTCTGGACTCAAAATACTTCATGGAACATTTTGTAGCCCTTGAAAAAACATACATATTCAACTTTTTTTAGTGGGAGTTGGATAAAGTAGTCTAGATAAAATCCAACTGGAAAAGATATTATTAACCTATTAGGTTTTCACTATTTTTGTACTCCTCAAGTCTGAAACTTTACTGGATGTCAGTACTGGACTTGGTGATATGAAATTGTAATAATAAATGAGGATATGGTGATATGAAATTGTAATAATAAATGAGGAAGATTTGCATGTATTTAGCACTTGAAGTTCTTAAAGTTCTTTTCTGATCATCTTACTCAATCCTTATCACTCTAGGATGATAGGCATGATATAACTAGAGCTATTGCCGTTGCATTGACTTATAAAGAATTAATATGATAATGGAGTGGCTATCTGACAATTTTATTGGTTAGTATCATTTGTTAAAGGCGCCAGAATTTAACAAACATTAATATGTAAATTGTATGTTATTAAAAATGGGTGGAACGAAGTTGGCTAGTATCAAGTGCTTCTAAGGACAGACACACAGCACAGAAAAATGTATAAATTGAAAATGAGGAAGACATATTAAGTTTAAGTGGAAAAGATATTGGAATCCTGATGTGCAGAAATTAACTTTTGGACTTGTCAAACAAAATCCCATTTCTTTACAGTAAGACTTCTCAGTTCCGTCTTTCTCAATCTTTTTGTGACCATAGGTAGTGGGGCTATCCTCCCAAGGAAGGAGTTCTGATGGAGTAGTGAGTTGAGTGTTGGGTTGCTAACAGCTTGGCCTGCAATGTAAATCAGACAGCTGCTGCTCCTGTAAAGACTGAACCATCCAGAAACCCTAAGAAGCAGTTCGACCCTGTTCTGCAGGGAGACTATGAGTTGGAATCGGTGGTGGGGATCTCAGGAATTTGCTTTGGGAAGCACCAAAATGTAATGTTCTGGTATCAGATATGCTTGAGCTAACCTAGAAAAGATATATTCCTTTAGCTATTACCTAGTTTATTTTTATTTGATGTATAAGTTACACTTTAAAATGACTGGACTTTGGTTTTTAAAAACATCTTTAAAGAATTTAGTTTATGGTTTACTAAGTAATATCTAATTTGACGTGGCATATTTAGCTATGTTAAAATATGTATTAGCCATTATAGTTAAAAGTGGTTTCTTTCTTGAGTGTGAAGTGCTTGTAACTGATCTGGGCATTTTTTCTTTTTGTGTAGGTATGCCCTTATATGTCAGCAGTGTTTTTCTCACAATGGCATGGCTTTGAAGGAAGAATTTGAATACATTGGTAAGACTTACTGGGCAGTTTGATTTAAAAAAAAACAAACTACATTTTATCCTATGCCACTTTCTATATATATATATATATATATATATATATAATTTTTTAATTTTAGCACTCAAAGCAAAACAGAGAAGAAACTAAAATGTTTTCATCATATAACACATAACCTCTAGACAAGTTGTTCTCAAAGCTCACTGTGCATCAGAATAACTTGAAGAACTTCTCATAATTATGATGCCTCTACGTCTGATTTAATTGATCTGGGATAGTGTCCAGGCACTGGTATTTCTCTCCTACTCCAAAGACAATTCTCGTTGTTGTTAAGTGCCATTGATTTGGTTTCAACCCATAGTGACCTTATGCACAACAGAAGGAAACACTGCTAAAGTAAATGAGGGTACCCTGGTGGCCTAGTGGTTTATGCTTTGGGCTACTAACTGAGAGGTCAGTAGTTCAAACCCAGCAGCTGCTCCAAGGGAGACATAAAAGGCTTTCTATTCTTGTTAAGATTTACAGCCTTGGAAACTCACAGGAGGCAGTTCTATTTTGTTCTATAGGATTGCTAGAAGTTGGAATCAACTCAATAACAACGAATTTGGTTTATACTAAATTAATTATGCTTCTTAAATATGACATCACATTTTTATTTTGAAATGAGTAAGGTTTAGATATTTAAAATATGTAATAATTTTGGTGACTAGGCCAGTGTTAATTGTTTTGCTATTGATTAACCTATGTAACATGCTTTTTCTGCTTTAAAATTAGTATTCTAATTCTAGTCATAATTAGAAAATATGTTTTAAAATTAGCTTTAAGTAGAACATATATCATAATATTAAAACACTGTGATTTTCAGAAGGAATAAATAACTTTTGAAGAGTTCTCTGACTTTTACAGCAATAATCGTAAAAGGTATCTAATTGACTCTTGAACTTTCTCTGGTTTGTGATATGGTTTACTTTTTAAATTTTTTTCTGCAGCTTTTCGCTGTGCCTACTGTTTTTTCTTGAATCCTGCAAGGAAAACTAGACCCCAGGCTCCAAGACTTCCAGAGTTCAGTTTTGAGAAGAGGCAGTCAGTGGAAGGTGCTAGTTCAGTTGGTCCCTTGTCATCAGGAACTGTGCTTCCATCAGAAAACCAGCTTGGTGAAGGTATGACTATGGTCATTTAAAAATGTTGTCTTTTAATAATGTATGCTGTTGTACAATAAAAGCACGATGCTTTTATTTATGTAACAATGGATCAGTTGATCAGATTTTGCAGCGTGCGTATATCAGCTATTGCTCTGATACTATAATCCCCTGTGTGATGCTCAGGATGTGTTTCGTTTTAGATTGGAGGCTGTATTGTGATAAGCAGCATCAGCAACAACTAGATGAACAGTGTTTACAGATCGACCTCTTGTAGTAACTATTGGGAGATTTGAGTAGCGATGTTTTCATGAAATTTTCTTTTCACATTATCTCTGAAGCAGATTCAAAATTATGGTGCAACTACTCGGAAAACATTCTTACAAGATTTTGAAAATGTGTAACATTGATAAGATAGACTTATAGCTTCCATTTGAATTGGTAGAAAGTACCATAAACCAGAAAGCTTTGGGTCTGGTTAGTCATCCTTGCATAGGACAGATATTCCATGGAAACAATTTATAGACAGACCCTTGACATTGACATTGCGGGTGATGAAATGTATGCTACCTTATTTTAGAGAAACAGGATTTTTCTCAGTTTATGAGTTTTAGAGTTCATCTTCCAGTTGTCCTAGTTCTTCTTGAGGCAGTGTCTCATACACTCACAAACATGGGAAAAGGTGACATGAAAGATATGATGACTATTGCCAACTCTTTCTGGCTATATATTAAGGCCAGGAGTGTTAATTAGGCTAAGGCAGTGGAGCTGTTGGTTAAGCAGTTCTGCATTAGGAAGATGGCTAAAAAATCATGGTGCAAAGCTTGGAGTATATATAGCTTATCTATCTTGTCAGTCTTCATCCCTTTCATTTCTCAGAATTATCATTTAAATATATTTCTCTTTTATAAAACATTGAATGTTGCAAAAATTGCTTTAACTGACAACAATGTATGTAAGCTACCAAATTTTGATATCAGAAGTTTAGTGGTAGAATTTAGTTATCTTTTTATCATGAAGAGTTAATCTAAAATAAGTGTGTCGAATTGAGTTTGGCTTTTGGCTTACTTACAAATATCAAACGAATTTAAATACAGAGAGCCTCGATACAGGCTTGTATCCTTCTGACACCGAACCAATCAATGCATTTCTCTTCTCCAAGTCCGCAACTTCAACTTCAAACACGATGCCAAGAGTTTTTCTTTTGCTTGAGTCATGCTCTGACCTGCATGATGTCACATGCAAACATCTGCCTTGCCAAAGCAGCCTCTTGGAACAGAAAATAAGAGAATTTTCATGCCGAAGATGCCTAGAGGAAAGATTGAAGCCCATCCCATTGCTTTAGAAAGCTAAAGTGAATATTTAGAAGTCAGTAGTCGTTGGGGCCAAAAAATAAAATAAAATAAAGCAAAAATAACAGCCAGCAAGATAAAAAAATCGTGAAAGAGATGAATCCCATGCTTTATACCTGCTAAAGTTGGGATGGAGAGTTAGCAGACAACACCCAGCTCTGCCTTTCCTTCTCATCTAATCTAGGAGGAGCAGTATCCCAGATGTCTCATTTTCTGTCTGAAACCTCCGGAATGAAGTCTAACAGGCTCACACTCAACCCCACGAAGGTAATGTTAATAGGTGGAGACAAAAGTTGAGTCAGGGTCCGAGAACCCTATGGTTTTGGAAACGGAAGCGGTCGTTCCATTCGGTTGAAACAGCCTCTAGAGTAGTAAGCAAACGTCCCTACTTCTCTTTGGAGCCGTCCACATGGCTGTGGCAGCTCTTTTCTTCTTCGGCCTTCCTGAAGACTGGAACTTTTCTCCAAGATTTGTAGTTCAATACTACGATACAATGATCACTTCTGAGTTGTAGTCCTTTAGTAAATGACTGGAAGCACATCTGATGGACAGATGAAGGTTTTACTGGTTTTGAACTTCTGTGGCATACTCTTATGATTAAATCCCGCTATTAAATAAGATCGCATCATCTCATTCATCTACTCTTTGTGGTGACAGCCAATATAATAGGGGGCTTAGATTTCTGGTTTTAAATTCTCCAATGATTTAGAAGCTTGTGGTCTTAAAAAGAACTTCTTATTTAAAATTTTTTACTTTTTACAGTGTTAAATATTTACTTAACAGCTGTAGGAACTGTAGAGAATCCATTTACAGATGGAAAAGCGGGTCACTTTTTTCCATCTGAACTTTCTTTTCATTGAATACTCATTGACTAATCAAGACTTAATAAAAGCAACGTTTTTGTAATTTCAATCTAAGTTTTGTCTGGATTCTGGTACTTGAAGATTTTACATTTATGATGAAATACAAGAGTTTAAATTTTTTTTGGATGGGCCATTCTTTAGAAAAACATTTGGAATCTTGAGAAAGTTTTTCATCAAAGATGGAAGAATTTCTCATTAATTGCTCATTTAAATTCCTAGAATTTTCTGTAGAACTAACTGTATATCCAGATGCTTTGGTAATAGGGTATTAGAGAAACACAAGGAATTAGAGCTATGGCTTGCCTGAGCATTAGCAGAGTACTCCAATGTAATGAATTGCTTTTAGGTTTCTTGGTTTCTGATTTTTGTTAAGTGAATAGTGTAGTAATATTTGAATCTCTGCTAAGTCACATGAAAGTGGTTTTATTATTTTTTTAAGTAACACTTTTACGTAATTTAACAGTATTTTTGTGCACTAAGTACTAGCTGTTTTCTTGAAGGTGGTTATACTTTACTTGAATTTCATTCCTTGAGCACTCGTGTTGAGTTGGGGTGAAATTCATGCTCATGTTGAGCATTGCTTTTGCTAGCGGTGGAATGGTTAGTGTGCTGTCTTCATTGTTAGGGTACTAACCCTGTGATTTTGCCTAGTGTGGTCAGAACAAATTTAATACTGTTTGTTAGCTGCTCAGATGTCTGAGGTCTCATGGTTTTTAGTAGACAATAGTTTTTATTCAACTGGAAATAACTTGCTAATGATGTAACACATGGGTCTTCTAATCAACGGTATCACAAATAGATGATAGAATTTATATAAGTTGAAATTTATCCTGGTAATCTAATTTCTTTTTCTTTTTTTAAAACAAAATGCTGTCATGAACTAGGGAAAATTCTGTTTTAGTACTTTTTGTTTTGGTGCCATAGAAAGTCGAATCAGTTGGTATCATAAATTTTTTTGAATTCTTTGTATTTATTAGGACCACAAAGCGTATACTTTTAATATTAAGTCATATGCAGCATACCCAAAATATAAAGTTGCCTGTAATATGTTTTTTCATGTTTGTTTTAGACATAGAAATCTGTCTTCTGACTCCCTTTTTAAAAAAATGGCTTTACCTAATGATTTAGTTATAGATCATTGCCTAATAAAGAAACCTTCTTAATGTGATGCACCCATGTTGAATAATTAAGCAGTATTTTTGTGCATTGAATACTAGCTGTATTCTTATAGGTGGTTACAATTTAATTGGATTTTATTCCTCAAGCATTTGTGTTGAGTTGGGGTGAAATTCATGCCTTTGTTCTTTACGTGTAAGTTGGCTGTTTTCCTTAAGGCAGGAAAGTCTTATTAAAACTGCCTTCTTTAAAACCTGTAAGTTCAAAGACAAATTGAGTATTTTTATTTAACAAAGTTCCTTTGGGCAAGTTTTATAGTCTTTACATGTAGTAGCTACTGCCTGATGTGTTAGCAACGCATATTTGTTTTTGTTTGCTATTGCAAAAAGTAAGAAAAATTCACCATCCCGGGAAGGTGTTTAAAAGCTTAAACTACATAGTAGCAGTATCAACATGCTAACATAATTATTCTATTGAGATACATGAATAAATTGTTTTGCTAGACTACTCTTTAATTTTCCTAGGAAATTGTTCACTCAAGTGATATAATAAAAACCTAAAGGTAAGGTGCTGTTACTACATGTTTTTCGCATGTGTGTGGTTTACAAGTGAAGCAGTGGTGTTCATTATACAATTACAGTCAGTTTTATGAGGCTGAGCTGTCTAGCTGAGGCTTTGCCCAAACAACTGGAAGCCAACTTTTACTGTTTGCTAGAAAAAGCTTCTCTTCCCAGAATATTGGGATGGGAAATGGAACAAATTCCACAGATCATTTTTGTTTTATTCCATTGTGGTATATTGTTTTCGTGGCATCACGGATGCCAACATTGATTTTAAAAGATTTTCTTACAGCTGGCATTAGGTCATTCAGGTAACTTTGTTTCGTATCTTTATCTAAATTGGGGCTGTTGAGGGAAGAATAGACCTGTTTAATTAGTGTGAACACAAGGCTGGTTCCTCTTTCAGAATTTTATGTCCAAATGTTAACATCTTAAATGTATTTTATACCACTAAATGTATTTTATTCCCAGCTTCACTGGGAAACTGTATTGTTTTTATTAGAATAGGCAAATGATGCTCTCCCACAAAAATAAAACAAGTACTTTTAGAATACATTAAAGAATTTTATTATAAAGCTCTGTAGTTTAAACTGGTATGCAATTCTCTGTTAATTTGGTATAGCTAGTTCATTTATATCTTGTTTGGATGACTTCTCACAAAATGGCATTGGCATCTAGACATGAAACACTGGTCTCACGTACATGCACAGATGTCTACATGAAATGCATCGTGGTTAGTAGCAGGGTTTTGCACTGTTACTGCGATTAAGGTTTACCACAGTATTCTGTGATTTAACCCGGAGGAAGAAAAATAATAAGTAACAGGCTCTTTGATTATTTGAAAGCCCACTCATAAATTCACTTACTTTTTTGCTCTTCCATGTACTTTCTGAAATACAATACAATATCGATGTGCATATTTTGTGTATATTGTGTATATTGTATATATTTTGTGTATATTTCACTTTTAAAATGTGAAAGTACATGCTTTACTGGCATTAAAAATTGCATAGTGTTGTAGACATTAAACAATTTAAATAGTTTAGTTCTTCTTGTATTAGCTTCTACTTTATGGACCCGAGAATTATTGAATTGGCTCGATTAATACATTTGTTTCTGAAAACAGTAACACCACAACACTTTAATATGATAAGCCGTGGACTTTGACATTGTTCCTGTTTCAGTACAGTCTTGAGGCAGAATATGATAAACCTTGTGAGCCCATGTTTACTCGCACAAGTTTATAGGTGACTTGAGGCCTGGCTTCTTAGTTTTCAAAACCCCCCCCCCCCATTTCTTTTAGCTTATGGGTTTGTTTGAGAACTATACTAAAATACAAAGTTATTGGCAAGGCTGTGTTGCTCCTTTATCAGGGAAAACCTTGACAGAAAAGTCTCCTCTGGATAAGGGTAGAATTATGAATGGCTGCTGGATCCTGAAGCATTCCCCTGAGGGACTGGACTGCTCTTACAACCGCTGTGTTCTGTCCACGGCTGTAGAGCTTCAGTGGTCCTTTCTGTCACTCCTTTGTGCACTGGCACATCCAACTCACGGAGTCCAAATGCCTGCCTCCTTCCACCGTGGAATTTTATAAGACGCAGAGTGGTTGCAGTAATATCATTTTAAGTTTCATATTCACATTTAGCAAAAGTCTCATGATTTGGGACACTTCTGACTGCTTTTCCTAATGTAAAATTTCCTACAGATAAGCTTCATTAACCTGGATGTCCCAAACTGTGGAATATGGATCTTTCATTTTCTATAGAGAAATAGGGAGGCATTTGTAATTAATTCTGTAAATCAGAGTCTAAGATGTGTTTAAGGGAATTGTTCTTTAAAAACATCCCTCACATATATATTGATACAGTATGTGTGCTATGAATGATTTGTATTTATTAAAGCTAGCACCTAGTTAGGGTCCTTTGAGTCAGAATTGACTCGATTGTAGTGGGTTTGGTTATTACAAACGGCATAAACTAATGTAAGTGCAAATGCAAATTAACGTGACCAGTCGGCATGCAAACCCTGCTATACTCATGACTGCTCAGCACTGTGAGTATAACATACATGAATATCACATTGATTTTTTTACATAACTAATATATATGCAAAACTCTGGTCTGTACTATATGCAACATTTAAGTAAAAATCATTACAAATAGCTGTTGAATCAAGTGTTTTTTGAATCAATAAGTTTGGCAGTGTATCCTAAGGGATCTCCTATGAGGATGAGATAATCTGATATTTAGTTTAGCTGATGCAACTTAACAATATTTCTCTTAGCAAGAATATTAATCACTTTTAAAAAATTATAAAACAACACAACAACATATAAACTACCTAAAAGCTGGAATTTGTTTTTGTCTGCTCTTCCCATGCCTCCTTAATTCTTTAAATTTTAAAGAATTAGAGTTTTTCTAAATAAAGTTGCTATTATTAAATGATCATTAAAACCCCAAAACTGAACCCACTGCTCTCAAGCCAATTTCAACACATAATCATCTTCCAAGACAGAACAGAATTGCCCATAAGGTTTCCCAGATTGAAATCTTTATAGAAGTAGACTGCTGTATCACCCTACCTTGGAGCAGCTGAGTGCTTCGAACTGTGGGACCAGGGCTCCTCCATGATCATTAAACCCAGCAATTAAACCCACTGCCATCAAGTCATCTCTCACTCACTGCCCTCACGTCGATTTGGACTCAGAGGACAAGGTAGAACTTCTACTGTAGGTTTCTGAAACAACCTTTGTGGAAGTAGAAAGCTTCATCTTTCTCCCATGGAGTGGCTGGTGCTTTTGAACTGCTGGCCTTGCATTTGCAGCCCAACGTACAACCACTGTGCCACCAGGGCTCTTCCATCAAGCCATAGTGACCTTGAGGTAAGGTTTCCAAAGCTGCCCATCTTTACAGCAGCAAATCTTTCTCCCACGTTATGGCTGATGAGTTTGAACTGCCTACCTTTTCAGCAGTCCAACACTTGGTCCACAGCACCACCAGGGAGCCCTAGATGATCATTTTAAACTAAAACCAAATCCACTGCCATGGAGTTGATTCCGATGCATTGGGACCCTGTATAGTGTTTCTGAGGCTGTAAATATTTATGGGAGCAAATATCGTCATCTTTCTCCCATGGAGCAGCTGGTGGGTTTGAACCACTGACTGTATAATTACCTGCCCAAACTCCAAGTTAAAGTTTAAAGGAATAAGTTTTCAGATAGGGACTAAGACCCTCCCACTGTGAAGGCCCAGTGGTGGGGAAGCCTATCCCTTTCTTTTCCTAGCATTGTAGGTATGGAGCATGTGCTGTCCCAGAGGATGAAAGACTGAGGGGTTGTCTTGCAGAGGGGTAAAGGGGAAATGTAGATTTTACTGGGATCATAGATATTATCTCCTCCACACAGCTGTATGTGTGGATGTGCTTGTGTGCGCGTACACACACACACACACACACACACACACACACACACACACACACACTTCACAGGGTTTCCTGGGCCGCAGGAAGACAGTTTTTGTTAGGAAACACCATCTAAAATGAAGGAATGAATAAATCGACTTTGTTTGCTGGGCTGTTTTGTCTTCCAGCACATAATTCTACTGGAACTTTGATGTCTAGACATTCAAATTTCAAGTGCGCCGAATAACTTTTGTTGGAAAATATGAAGTTTGTTCCCCTCAAAATTTTTTTTCTTTTTTCTTATCAAGTCTCTGGTATGATATGGGAAGTTGATTATGGATTTTAAAAAGATTTTTGTTGTTGTTTTAAAGATGTTACAACAGCCTGCTATTGCTCAGTGTGTTGCATGTTTTACCTTTGGCTTGCCTTATTTAGTAGTGCTAACATTTTGGATATTTCTGAAGTCTCCAATCTATCTTTTCAGAATCTGTAGAAGAACAAGATGCTCTTGATGGTAGTGCAGAGCACATAGATAACAGCATACCAGCGACAGAGCTGACAGACCAAGTGATTGAAAAGGCACCTGGCACAGAGGAATCGGAGGAGAAACGGGAAGAGCTGGAAAGCGAGGAAGCCTCAGTGAATGAAGCCAAGTCCGCAATGGCTAGTGTTGATTCTCTTCCTAACCCTGAACTCAATGGGGAGTCTCTGATGACAAGCGAGTAAATGCTTGTGTGCTTCAACTGGCTCTCTCCAGTCGTGTTGATTCAGTTACTGCTCTTCAGGTGGTGTGTTCTTCCCCTCCTGCGGATATGCTTGCTGTCGTTTGAGTTTAGATTCCCTAGCCTCTTCTTTGTCAAAGTTTTATCCACACTAGGTATTAATTAAAGCAAGTGATATCAGCAAGTGTTTGTAGACAACTTTTAGATATCTTTTGCCTGTTCAAAAAGTAAACAAATATGATAGCCTCCCTGTTTTCTTACATATATGACCTGTATATTATATCCATTTTGACATAGGAGGAACTTGAGTTAGGAATACATTTTCTGATGTTTGCTTTAAGGAATGTACTCTGTTAAGATTTTGTACACTTTATCGATAAAAAAACGTATAGGGTTTTAACTTGAGTTATTTTCCTGGGGAGGTGGGGGGGAGTATCTATTTAGATATTTATATTAAGTGGTATGAGAGTTGTAACTGTAACTACATAGGCATTGGTACGAATTTTCAACAAGAATTTTGGTACGAATTTTCATTAAGAATGCAACTGAACAGTCAAGTGCAGTGTTTCTTTTTGATGTTACTTATTTTGCAGCTGGGCCAAAGGCACATGATGTATAAAACTAGCTTATGTTTACATATTAACAAATAGGAAATATCTCTGCACTTGACTGTACTTGAATTCTGAGCATTATTTATACCTGTAAAATAATGATGATCTACAAGTGAATTTTTCGCTCTTGTGTGACTTTTGTTAAGGCAAATAAAGATGATATGGCAGCAGTTTATTTTTGTTAAGATATCTAGACTCTTACAAGGAGTATCATGACAGATGACTGGATACCTGAAAAATCTTAGGATGAGCTCAAAATACAATGAATATATAGATAGGGCTTCGAGCACATTATGATGCTTTCTACTCAGATTTATTGTCTTTTCAAAGGAATAGAAATAGTGATATCTAGAAGTTCTAATAAGAGGTGTGCTTATGTTTGTTTGTTTTTTAAGTCAGGAACACTTTAGACCATTGGTAGAGCTTTTAACTTTGAAAGTTAAGTGTGTTTTGTGAGAACAATCAGCTAGTGACTAGTAGTTAATTTGATTTAATATATGCTTTAGGAATCAATTGGGGAAAATATTTGACCCAGATTATTAATTCATGGACATCACATATAGCATGGTTATTTTTTATTGCTCCATTTGATCTCAGTCTCCATTATTATTATTTTAAAAAAAATTAAACTCAAATTGCTGTGGCAAAGGAAGGAATTTATATGAATGATGTGTAGGGCTAAAGTTTATAAAGTACTCACCCACTGCTGCCAAGTTGTTTCTGACTCATAGATGAGCCCAGGTGGTACAGCAGGTGAAAGCGCTTGGCTGCTAATGGCAAGCTTGGCAGTTCTTACCCACCAGCATCTCTGTGGGAGAAAGATGGGACATTTTGCTTCCATAAAGATTGCAGCCTTGGAGACAATAAAGGTCAGGTCTACTCTGCCCCACAGGGTTGCTATGAGTTGGAAAGTTGTACAGTTTATTTAATATTGAATAAAAGAACCTTTATTATTTAAATTTTTTTCTTCATGATTTTATGTCTAATAGTTCCCGGGTATTTTTAAGGAATCCGATCTGTTAATCACCTGAGACCACATAGTGTGGTGACTTGAATGTTGTAGTTTACAGAAGCGGGCTTGAATCCCAGCTCTGCAGTCTGGGGAAGTCACTGGACTTCTCTGAGATGGACTGTTTAATCATCTGTAAAATGTGAAGGAGAACTGCCTGCATTTCAGGGGTATTGGGAGGATTAAAAATACATAATAGTTCACTACTGTTCCAACAATAAATATTAGCATTTGTATTATTAACCTTGCAAAATATGAAAAAGCCATAAATGCTTCCACTTGAAAATAAGACAATTAAACAACCATATGAGAATACAACTGAGCAGCTCAAAATCAAGCCAAAGTTTTGTAGTTTGGTAGAGCTTTTAACTTTGAGAGGCCAATGTATATTGTGAGAATAAGAAGCTAGTGGCTAATAGTTCATTTAATATGTGCTCTAAGGGTCAACTGGGAAACATTTTGACCCATATTATTAATTCTTTGACATCACAAATAGCATGATTATCTATTATCTTTTATAGATAACCATACATAGATTAAGGAAATAGCAAGTGGAAATTAATACAAAATGCTGTTTTCTGATATTTCATCAGCTGTTTTTATACTAATATTGACCCATATACATTTGCTAATACCTTGCAAAGTCTTCTTGGTATAAAGCATTCGAATTCAGATGCATATTACTTGAAAATGAGGAATACCTCAGATAAATTAGTTTAATGATAGAATCAAGCAGAGATAGTGAGAAATATCTTTGAAAGGAATATTAAGGAAGGTTAGAAAGGGCATTAGTGAAATTCAGGCAATAGGTAACATGTAGTGGTTTTAAAAGAAACCAACTCAAACCAAGGCCACTGCCCATGAATGCATTCTAACTCAGAGTAGTCCTCCTCATTACGAAACCAGAGCTCTGTATTCACCCACCTTCCATCTCTCACAATCAGTATATTCAAGAATGAACACTCTTTTCAAACCTGCCTCTATCTTTCGCATCTCGACAAGTAAAACTTCTCTCCACCCTAGAAACTGGAGTTGATCTGTGCATCCCTTCCCTCTTTTCCCTGTAGTCAAACTGCCAATTGTTTCCTGAGTATTTTCTGGTTATAGTCTCAGTTCTCCATCCTACTAATAATGCATTTGGCCTCATAGGGATTTTTTTTTTTTAAAGAGCAGAGTACTCAAAGGTGACTTAATTTTCCCTTCTCTTTAGAGGAACAGGAGTCCTGGTGGCATAATGGGCATCCATCGGACTGTGGAAGTGCTAACCCCAAGGTCAGCAATTGAACCCCCCAGCTGACCGCAAGTAGTAACTCAGAGGAAGGGTGATTCTGTCTACTCCTGTAAAGATTTATAGTTTCAGAAACGCATCGAGGCAGTTCTACTCTGCCCTACGGGGTTGCTATGAGTTGGAATTAATGACAGCAGATTATTATTTTTAAAATTTAAAAAATAGTTAAAAGATTTCAGGGGATAGTTTTGGTTTAAGGGTTAAAGAGTATCTCAGGGCAGCAGTCTTATGCATTCTTAAGTCCCAGTGGGTCTTGGTATGTCCGTATTCTTTGAGAATTTGAGGTTCTGTTCCAAAGCTACTCTTCAGGACTCGCCCGTGGTGACACTGAATAGAATACTGGGCAGTGATAACTGGGCCCCATCTAGTTCTTCTGGCCTCAAGGTAGAGGAAGCATGTGGTTCATAGAGGCAATTGGTTCCTTCTTTGATTCTTGGGTTTCTTTCTTTTTCTCTCTAAGTTTTATCCCCTCTTGAACTGCCTTCTAATCCAGCCCGCCTCAGATTATGGATTCATCTCCTCTGGCTACCTGCTCTCTGTTCTTGCTGCCCATGGTTGTCTGATCACTGCTACAGTTTGAAGGAGTTTCTGAAAACGAAAAACGAATCATGCCACACTATTGCTTAAGTGCGATAATGACTCCTCATTGTTCTTGGGATGAAGGCACACTTTTTAAGATGGCCCACAAGGCCCTCTCTCTTTTTTCTTCTTTCTTTCCGTACTTGCACTTATCTCTAGCATCTTCTTCCCACAACTGGTACCATTCCCACTTTTAATAGAGCTAAAATAATGGGTTTTGTGCTCAAATACGCAAAGTTCCTTCTAATCTGCCAGACTGTTTTCTTTCTGCTTGGGATAACTTTCCACTCCCAGGCATGGGGGCACTCAGTAAGTGGTTGCTGAGCTGAATTGGAATAGTTTCAGTTAGAATCCACTTGCATTTATTATAATACAAACAATGAAAAATAAAGAGAACAGAAGTAATACCGTATTGCATTCTGGCCATTGATGATTAATTTGTCTCAGTCTAATTTCTCCCCTCCTCAGGAACAACTAATCTAGATGTTTTTTGAACTTTGAAGACTTATTCAAATTTCTGAATTTACTAGACAGTGAAGGTTCCCTGAAGGTCCTGTATCAGTGTGCCTTTCTGCAAGTGTACATTCTATCCAAGTTTGATTTCTTCTCCTTCGGAGGCCCTGTTATTATATGTAGTTTAATTTTGGTTGCTCTTGATTTTTAGAAAAAGAAAACACTGCCTATTTATATAGTTTTGTATTATTTAATGCTTTGTTAAACTCTAGATTTTCTGCTTTGTTCATTTCTTTCAAGTATTTATCCTTTCTATTTTTCCTTTGGCAGTGAAATTGACAGAAGAAGGGGAGTACTCTGGGAAAATTAAAATATGTTCTGAAAAATTTCCCTCATGAATTAGCTTTTTAAGTTCCTATTCCAGGAGTCTATAAGAATAGGCCAACTTTCCCACTGCCAGAGACTTTTTACCAGATCTTTGGCACTGAAGGTAGGAAAATTGGGGAAAATAATTCATTTTTGGGGAAAATAAATGTTTTTATCTTAGTCTGCTTTTAAAAGGTGAAGAAAGTTGGGAATCAAATGAACATTCCTGGAATGCCTACACTCTGTTCTGGGCACCGTCAGGTTTGACCGTTCTCCCAACACTGTCCATGTGAGTTTAGGGTGGAGGCTCCTGTAGCAGGGACTACTGACTAAGCTAATTTCCCAAGACTCCTTAGTTTACCTGTACGGATAGAATTTGAACCTGGGATCTTAGAATTCTCCCCTCTTTGTTCTATCTATGAACTCTCTTATTCTTTGGAGGCTGGAACAAATAGACTAACGCTCCTTTTGGTGTTCTTATGTTCGTAGTAACTTAAATCATCAGGGCCTTTAACACTAAGACCTGCCAGGCTCGTCATTCACCCTGCCTTCCCCTGAAATTCTGTCATGATACTGTTTCTCAAGCCAGACTGAAGTCCCTGAGAGCACTATTCGACTCACAATGTCTGACATGTAAACCAAACCCACTGTCATTGAATTGACTCTGACTCATGGTAACACCATAGGGAAGGGTAGAACCACTGCTCCCTAGGGTTTCTGAGGCTGTAAGTCGTTACAGGAGCGGACAGCCTTATCAGTCTCCTGAGGAGCAGCTGGTGGGTTTGAACTGCTGACCTTTCAGTTAGGAGCCCACTGTGTATTCAACTCTTAACACACCAACAGGACTTTGTCTGGAAAAATAACTAAACCCTTGCCATCCAGTTGGTTCCAGCTCATAACAGTCTTCCAACATTTCCAAGGCTGTCAATCTTCACTGAAACAGAACACCTCATCTCTCTGTCTGTCACACAGCGGCTAGTGGGTTCAAACTATTGCGCTTGTGGTGAGCAGACCAACATTGAAGCCTCCTATGCCACCAGAGCTCCGTGTGTGGCATATAGAAGACACAAAATAAGCTCCTGTTTTGTTTGAGGGCAGCAAGGGTAAGAAAATAAAAATTGAGAAACACTGCCTACCATCAGTGTTTAGTTAGATGAGAAATCTAGATTTAAAAAAACATGAATTCATTATTTGTTGAATAGGTACCACACATACACGCATATTAAGAATGGGGGCTATTGATGGTCTTAGTATAGTTTTTGTAGTGTGTGGGGTTTTCAGTTCTCATTCTTTGAACCAATGGGTAGGGAAAGGACCAGAGCACTTGTTCCTTACAAGTTAGACAAATTGCAGTTGGCTCATAAGTCTTTTTTGGTTCCATCATCCACATTAATGTTGGAACTTCCTAAAAATCTAGTACTTAAACATATCCTAAGGTTCATTTATGTGTATCAGACTCCTTAGGGTGGCAAGGCTTCCTTTTAAAATCAAAATCGCTTGCTAGCTTAATCCCCTGCTATTCGGTGATCCAGGCACAGACAGTATTTAATACCTTGAGAAATGTCTTACCTGATGTTACACCCAAGAACCAAACCCTCTGCCACTGCATTGAGTCCAACTCAAAGTGACCGTATAAACAGGCCAAGGCAGCAATGCTTTTCTGGAACAGACAGCTTCATCTTTCTCTAGCAGAAAGGCTGGTGGGTTTGAACCGCCAACTTTGAGGTTAGCAGTCTAGTGCTGTGCCAGTGTCATCAATCAGGGTTCCTTACTGTTCTTGATAAACTCTCACTCTCGAGACCCAGCTTCATCTTGCCGTTGTCCTGGGCCTTTAACACTTACTGGCTTTTAGTGCCTATTGTATTGTGTTCCCTTTATGTAATTTATAATTGCCTGACCTCATTACTTGTTGAGAA